CTAATTTTCATAAGAGTATCGTGAAACTGCGACATGGGAGAAGGTGGTCCGTTTCCATCGCAGTTCCCTCCACAATTAGGAACACAGCACAGGCGTAGGTTCAATAGATACGGTGATGTGTCGCATCCTCAAGTGTTTCGGCTCTTTTAAAATTTCTGTCAAGGGGTAATCATAAATTACGTAAAGAAAATTTGGAGTATTTTGAATACCCCATCTCCCCCCTGTACGCATACGTAATGCACAATTGACCCAATAGTAATTACAAACGCGACAACCCCCCTTAAGTAAATGCAAGAAGTGAAAATAAATTATAGTTCAGTAAAAGTATTAATTTCATTTATTCAGTAACAACTTCTAATAACGTAAAATAATTTTGTTTTAAAACAAATTAAATACATTTGTTCATGTTTTAGTGTGACAAAAACAACAAATATTTAAACAAATGGCTAAAAATGTAAAAAAAATGCAATGTTACATAACACTAATGGAATACCCCCTATTGAACGTGGCTTAACGCTGTCTCAAACCCCCTCCCCCTAGAGTTACATAATTTATGGACGGCCCATAAAAATATTTTTCGATTCGTGTAAGTATATCCCTCTGTACGGTTTGCACCTTTCATTTTTTTATGTCCTGTCCGGTAGGCGTCTGCCACCTCCTTGGATGTGACAGGTCAAGAAACCTTCCTTGGACGTTGTTACGGATCGGAGAAGGTTTCCTCAGAAATAACTTTCTTCGATTCGTATACAAATATTTAATAGATACTGAAAAACAGTTACAAGTTACAAGCGAGAAGGACCTCGGCCACTTCGTGACGAGCAACCGCACTGCAGCGAGACAGTGACTGATCTGACTTGTTTAGACATGGGCGCAGAGCTTAAATACCGGTGCGTACGTGACTTACCCCGCGTGTGCTGGCATGCGGCGTCATTACAGCCAATAGCTAGGGCTCGTAGGTCGGGGGGGGGTAGTTTGGTCATGGTCCCTCGCGGGGTGGCTCCGTCACCTTGTCCTACGTGACCTCTGTCTATAGCAGTACTTTCGTTAGGGTGCCTCATTCGTCAGGGTGCCTCCTTTATGGAGTCAGCGGTCATGGAAGGGGTGGCTCCGTTACTGTATCCTACGTGACCTCTGTCTATAGCAGTACTTTCGTTAGGGTGCCTCATTCGTCAGGGTGTCTCCTTCATGGAGTCAGCAGCCATGGAAGGGGTGGCTCCGTTACTGTATCTGTCTATAGTAGTGCTTTCGTCAGGGTGCTTCAAGGGTTCGGCGGTCATGGAAGGGGGTGGCTTCGACATTGTGGCCTACGTGACCTCTGCCGCGTGTAACAAAGTCTTCTCTTCGTTACCGAAGTCATAGAACCCCCACCATGTGCTGTGTGCAAGATGCCATGGGCGACGGACTTTACATTGGCGCTTCTGTATTCCCCCTCCCAAAGCTTCGCTATCCCTTCCTTTGAGTACCTCCTCTTCTTGCAATAAGACTGGAAATCCAAGTGCTCACGTGCTAACACCTAGTAACCAGCTAGTAACTCCGTAACGGTTGGGGGAGGGGGACGTCTTGAACACACATACGCATGTGCACGCATGTTTGTCAGTCCTGACCCAGAACATGATTTACGAGACGTGGGTACTGACATACAACTCTACCGCACGCGACTGGTTTGTTGCCTAGTTTTTCGCGTGTATTGTGTGTTGTTGCGAAAATATCGATTTTTCTTGAAACTGCAATATACAGTACAACATGTACTCCTACAACGAAAACTCATGGTTTAGAAACTGCAACGTGATAACTAGAATCTAACAATTTTCGCGTGAAAAGATGTGACTTGGCGAACACATGGTTTCTTGAAGTGGATGAATCACATGAGTCAAGAAATAAGTGAAAACTGTCAATGTCCTTTGAAAGGTTTCAACAACTCTATTTGGTTCTCAAGTACGCTCGAAGATAACGGAAAATCAACCTCTAATTAAACTATTAGTAGGTGTAATGCTCAAGTTTCGATGTACTTTTATGAATTATTGTCGTGCTTATTATTGGCAGAATAAGCAATACAAAAATAACAATTACCAAAGATTCTCAAAGAATGCCCTGTACATCGTAATATAGTATATATAAACATATAGTACATGTCGATTAAATACCTTAATTGATTTGCCTTGTGTAATCCATAAACCTCTTATCGCATCTCCGTATTCACTAAGCATTAAACGCCACTGTTACACAGCACTTATAGACCGCGGTAAAACGACTGATACGAATCACTACATACATAAGAAAATCTTCATCAATATCAAGCAACTGTTAATAGTAACCCTGGTTGTTGCTGCGTGAGCAAATCTTGAATTAATAATTATGCTAATAAACCTCATCAGTCTGTGCAACAGATGACATAAACGCCATATTGCTCTATCCTTTTGTTTTTTCAAAAATGTATTTTTTTTTACTTGTCTCTCACGTCGTTAATATTTATATTAGCGGCAATTTGTTCACATTATTATATTTATGAGTACATGTGCTTTGAATAATGTCAGATAATGTTTCTCGTAAACTTAACCGTTTTCTGCGAAAACTAACTCAAAATTCCGCATTTTCAGAAACGCTCAAAGGCAATTTGCTCTAAAACGGATTTTTTCCTTCAAACTTTTCGAACGGATAGTGTTAATTGCACTCTTTAATGTGACGCACACTTTAATATATAAAATTCATTTTGGGATTTGTTTCGAAAATTTCCCACATGTAATTTATTTGAAATATTTTTCACTTCGTTAATATGCACATTTCCATAATTTGTAAAGATTATTGTATAAGTGAGTTAAAATGCTTCAAACGACTACCAATTAACTTTTTCGAAAACTCAAAAATTTACTGTGAAAACGAGCTTCAAATTTCGAATTAACAGTGGGACTTAAACGCCATTTTCTTAAAACCGACTCCAAATGTTTAAAAGAAAATTGCTATTTAGGATGATTTTTTACTGTTCTTTAATATTCTTTCAAAACAATATTTCCGTTCTACTACCAGGAAACCGAAAAATTCAGAAGAAAAAAAATATATTTTGGGCGGCGATAAATGGCAGTTGGCAAGAGCATGTGGCAAGTTCGTATAGCTAGCCGAGACCAAAGGAAATAGAAAACTAATACGGGAAAGTCTGTGCCATTCTGTAGCACCACTAGTTTCAGATGATTACAGAGATAAGGCCATTCAACGGTTCATGGCAATTTTTTTTGTTGCAAATGTCTGTTGCAGTAAACAGAGTAGTTGGCTTATGATTTGATATCTACATTTTGGTGAAATTATTCTGAACGAGCGAGATCATTTGTCTCCTTTGGGAAGTCTTGTCGCATGCCCCCTTCTGATTCTGTGGCGGCGGCATAGGCTCAACGTATGTGAGGAATGTGTTGTATACCCACGTCTTTAAACACTTTTAAAACTTTTCAATTACGTATATTTTTTGTTTTACTTAGTATCTCTTTCTGTTTTGTAATTACTTTTCGCTACGCGTGCTTTCCGTTAGGCATTTGACCTCTCACTTGATGTGACATTCCTTGACGGTCTCGTTTCGTTTCCTTACCGAGAGCATTAAGCTAACAGGCATGTGCCGTGTGAAGGTTGCAAGTATATATTTTGCCAGTCGTCACTGCTAATGCGATTCGGCTGTCGCATCATTGCCTCTTCATTGGTACGCCTGTGTCTCCTACCCAAAAACTAAGTTAAAGCAGGTCGGGGAACCCCAATAGGCACGTGCAAATGGCTGTAGCCTCCGAAGCGCGATGCGGAGGAAAGACGGCTCTGAGGTCCTCACTGCAAATGCACGTCTGCCAATTGACCGTAAGAAAATTGATTTCTGATTTAATACGTCGACATACGAGGGTACGAGAAGTGGATCATCAGTCAGCCGTTAAAAGAAATAGTTCTTTATTGCTTAGATTTTCACAAGTGTTATATTTTATTGCCAATGGATTGAGTTTTTCTTGAAACTGTGTTGAAGTCAGTCTGACATGTGCTCTAACGAAGAAAGTCATGCTGTAATGCTTAATTCAAATTCAACGATTTTCGTGTAAGGAGATGTGAAATGGCGAGCATGTTCTTAGTAGCATTGGATGCTGTGTGGCAGTATTTGGGGGATAAAACACTGAATGTTCTTCAGAAAGGTTTCTAAAAACCAGTAGCAACCAGTTCCCCTAATAAACTGGGGGTTTCTATTGACGGTAAAAGAATTCATACAAAACTAAAATAACTTAGTTTCGAAAATACGGTGATCGCACTCCAGCTCTTCGCAACCATCACTTTTCATTAGACACGTTTCACACAAACAAAATTATTTTATTTTTAAAATTTTACTTCCATGGTATATATTGTAATAATGAAAGATTTTTTTACAAACAAACTCGTATTCACAACAATACTAGGAGGTTGTCACTACTGTCGTGATGGGTTTCGGTAGAGATTCAATGGTTGAAGATGTACACACCGTAAGAGACGGAATGGGACTTCTTTCCATGAAGGCCAACTTTACATAGAGGACTCATCAAATGTACATTTTGAATCAGTAACCATAGCATCAAATGAAAAAAAATCATGTATTCAATATAGTCTAATAATTATTGACTGAACTTATGTACTTTCAATAGCATGCGAAATTCATAAAATTAAGATGCAGCCAGTGGCAAACAATGACAGAAAATTGGCACTCCCTAGAACGCTGTTGTGGAGTGAGTCGTGCTTTCTGTTGGCATTGGGGGAAGACAAGCAAGCACACGAATATAATGATAAAAAAAATAATTTTTAGGGTGTAGTTAATATATAGATTTTTTTAGGAAAACGTATGTCAAACAAAGGAAATAAAAAATTTTGAAAACTGAAAAAAAAAGCAATTGCTGTTGATCGACGCAGATTGCTTATTTATATTGTCCGCTGGTATTCAGCCGGATGTTACCAACTGTGAAGATTGAACAACAAGTTGAAAATCCCGTCACGCACGCATTACGAATAATTCGGTTCAGTGCTCACGAGTTGGTAACGTGAGTGAAAAGGGGATTTGTGTGATGTGATAATATGTGATGGTATGTGTTTTAATACTGTTCGTTTTAATTGACTCTTGTAATTCTTCTTCTTTGAATTAAATTTAGCGGAAGAATATTATTTATCCTTATAAATGTTGGAATGAATTTCAGGATTGTGTCGAATTGCAGTAAATGAGTGCGAAATTTATGTTTCATGGAGGCTAGGTATGCACGAATGTCACTTGCGTAATATCATGATTGCGTGGTAATATCATAAAATATAGATTTTTCCTTAACGTAACCTAAATAGTTCATTTATAATTAAATTATTGAAAATTCTAATCTTACAACACTCATAAGTTGTCATTTGACTGTCATGGTAATACAGCTGCGGTGCTATGGCGGACCTGATGAGACACTTGTCAAGGTAGTTAATGTAATGGGGAAATATTCCGTACTGATGTCGCCCCAATTAATATTTTATCGTATCCAATGGCAGTGTTTGAAAAGAAGATACCACGGAAAGTTTATTTAGATGACACGCAGGTGCTGACATGCAAATTTGAGAACACCCAGAACATCCAAGGGCATACGGTAAGTATAATTATTCAGCAGTAAATTTTCGTTTGTATTGTCAATATACGTGCGTTATTGGAAGATGTCATTTCAAGTGATGATTATGTGAATACTTACTCTTCTAAAAGCACATTATCAAGAATCGAAAAAAAATTCGAAGATCTGCTTATATATTAATATCTATGTTTATTGCTTCAATATTTCAGGAATACATAATACGGGTGCAACGGGGACCTCAGACGGAGAAATCTTGGCATATTTATAAACGATACAATGATTTTGTGTCCCTTCATAATGTATTGCAAGTGTCTGGCCTTAATCTCCCGCTTCCTCCCAAAAAGCTCATTGGAAACATGGAAAGAGAATTTATAGCTGAAAGGCAAATTGGACTGCAGGTAATGTAGGTGTAAATGATGTGTAAAATGTTAGTTATAAATTGTAATTATTTACATTTATTTCTTTACAGAATTATTTAAACTACATACTAATGAATCCCATCTTAGCATCATCGTTACCAGTTAAGAAATTTCTTGACCCTGAAAATTATGCAACACCATCTCAAGGTATTGCTTCTTTAGAAAGTTTGCTATACATTTTAAACTTCAAATTTCTTAATCCAGAGATGCTTAATTTGGTTCCTATACTTGATATTTATGTAGAGGTGGCCCTTCAACATGTCTCAATGGCACTTAGAAGTGAAGTTAACTATGAAGTAGTGAAACCAGTACCTGAAATGGGTTGGAGGCTGCGAAAACATTACTTCCAAGTAAAAAGTCGCAGTAATCCCAAAGAACTGTTACTTTCATGGGTGGAACATGGTCCAGATAAATATTTAGATGATCGAGAACTCCATGCTGTATTTAAAAGCATTGGTAGCATACAGGTATGTATAAAAGCAGACTGTTTATTTTGTATCATCGTGAACTAGTGATAGTGCAGGCTAAGAGTTTAAAAAATTGGGTTCTTGAGCAACAAAGAGGTTACATACGTTACGCACATTGCTCACATTTGTGCGGAATAAAGAGCAATAGTTTGTTGTCTCATTCTTTAAATTAGAATATGAATAGCAATAACCAAAAACAGGCGCTAGTGGCCCAGCTAATTTTTACCGAAATGCTAAGTGAATATAAAATTATTTTTGAAAAGAGCCAGCTTTCGGAAGTATGCTGTGGCTGAAACGAAACATTATAAAGTTTCAGAAAAAAGTACCCTGAAAAATTCCAAGTAGAAAAGAGCGATGGGCAATTAACATAGAAGATATGCAATAAGAAAACGCGCCTGAAAGCAAACGCCGATAAAAATTGTACCAACGATACATTGTACTTTTCGATTCGGCAAAGATTCTAATAGTCTACATCACGAGAATTTCGCTTAATCTTGCATTTTTTTTAGTCCGCTGTATATGTATATCAACACATGGTAAAAAATCGGCCAATTTAACCTTACTTTTCAAACGTGAGTCTGCTACTAAGGTCCCTCCGAAATTTTGGAGCAAGTGCTCACTCTAGAGAGTAAACGCTTAACTTTATTCATACTAATTCTGACCATTTGCTCGCCAGTTGAGAGTACGCTCAGAGCTGAAGCAAGTACTCAGAGACTGAGCAATTGCTTACCCACTTTATTCATACGAAACTGAGTCAGATCTCGGAGCAAAGAGTTGCTTATTTTTATTCATACCACCCATTGATGTCACTGTAGTATCTGACAGGGTGGTCCTACGTTCAAGTCCTGACAGTGGCAAGATCGTTGGCACTAGCTTGTCAGCTAGGTCGAATTCAGTTACTGTCTTGAAGAGAATTCTAGAGGCCGGCTGTTCTGATCAGTAGTTTGCTGTGATTGCTCCGATCCACACCAGGCAAATGCCAGAGCATTACCCTAACAAACAGGCCATGGTCCGTAGACAGTCTTTCTTTCCTCTGCCTTGTCCTATCCTCACTTCTTACGCACACTTACATGCACAACACATGCCAGGAAACTGGTTGGGAGGTAAGAGCTTTTTCTGAATGGGGCAGTGTCCCACTGGTGGGAGATACCCAGTGGGGGAATCTCTGCTAGCCGACACTAGGTCAGCGCTGGATCATCGCCACCTTCTGAAGGGGGGCATGTACTACACTTACGGGCCTTGATTTTGGTAGTGGACACTCCCGAAATAACTATCAACCAACCAGCACTGAAAAAATGTTTTTAAGTATTCACCTGCCTTGTTCCTTGTAATAAGAATGCTTTTTCGGAAGTGAATGTGTTGACAATGAACATTAGGTAGCAGTAGTATTGTGATTACCTACAAATGGCTTCTGCGTGCAGGTGTTTTGTGTATGTCAACCCTCCATACTGTGATGTTATGACACGTTTTAAAAAGTAAGACATTCACTGACTATGCATGTTATAGAAGATCAGTTCAGTGGTTTGTTAATGTGAAGAGTTGTTGAATTTAACTGATTTTAAAGGATTATTATGTTGATAGTGCAAAATGGAAAGAGGAAGGATCTTTACTCTCAAATAGTTGCATGTGTTAAAACTTCTAGAAGAAGGTGTGAATGCATAAAGACATATTGCTTTGAGACTCAAAATAAGTCAAAAATCTATTAGTAGAGTCAGTATTGCAAAGAGAGAAAACAAAAGCTCAGCTGTTGAGCTGAGAAGAACAGAAAAGATATTTCTAAAAAATGACTTATGAAGATAGTTGAGTGTGGATCACGGGAAGTGTGAGAAGAATTCTCTGTGTAGGGAGCGCAATATCACGATGCCCGTGGAAAAAGGCAAAAATTCTTCCTGCAAGGGCAAAGAAATGCATTGAATGGGTATGAGATCTGAAACACTTGGACATGTAAAGTCAGGAAGAAAGGGTTTTAGTAAAGAATCATGTTTCACTGTATTTAACGATGTTCCAGATACGTTCAAAGTCTATTTGATGATGCATTCAAATTTGAATGGGTTTAACAACCAGTTAAACATTCAACATTGTATTGGTATGGGGCATAATGTCTTCCAGGTGTCTTGGAAAGCTACAGATCACAGAGAGAACGATAAAGCAAGACCAATACTTAAAAGTTCTTAAGGATGAACCACTGCCACTAGCAACAACCTGGATTAATGAAGACCTGTAGGTGTTTATGTATGACAGAACACATGCCATCAAAATAAAATCATCCAAAAATTCCATGTTTACTGCCATGGATGGAAGCAGTCTCAACATGAACCCCCTAGAAAACCTTTGGACATTCATGAAGGATAAAGTGAAAAAATAACATTTCAGCTAAACATCAGTTGATTAAGGAAATCAATTCATTTTGCATACTAGGGTTGATGAACAAAGACTGAACTTGATAAAAAAATTAAGGATTCCAAAATAAATACTATGTTAATTACTTCTATTTCATATAAATCTATTTTGGTAATTTTCTAAATCTATTACTCTAATTTTTTTATTGAATTTGGTAAGTTTATATTTCAATCATTTCAAATGTGTAAGACAATTCATAATTAATTTGAAGTAGATACATTCATGGTTCAAAGTGTATTGTTGCTTAATAAATAAAATTCTTTGAAAACTGAATGCTGAGTGATAATTGAACAGATCTGTAGTGATTGGGTGGTGAGTTAGGAAAGAGGGAAGGAAGCAGTTTTGGCGGAGATGGAATGGAGGGAGTTTCCACTTTTATAAAATAATGAGAAACACTTGCAAGGAGATTAATGAAACTTACATAGTCTAACCTTGGGTCTTAGAGATGCCTCCAATTTAGCTTGTGTACCACACAAGAGGCAGGACTACAAATAAGCATATATTTCACTTGCATTTTAATGCTATATTACTTTTATAGCCAAATTGACTGTTTGCTGTACATTTCTGAGTGGAGGACAATACTTATACATTCAACCTTTGCGGGTAATATAAAACATCCTTGAGGGTGTTAAATGCATAATTATTAATGTCTGTATGTGATAATATCTTAAGGAAAAAACTTCATGAATCCAAGGTGATGTGCTAGTTTAAATTACTGCTTTAAGTTGTACTGTAATTTCTACTTCAAGTGCACTAATGCGAAATTAATAGGTCCCAAATGCAATTGAAGAAAAGTTGTAAAGTGGGATTGGTAATCTTATTAAAAGTACTTACATAGAGGTAGTGCAATATATTAGAAGACCAACATCAGTTTATCATGTATATTAAATAAAATGTAGCAGTATATTAAGTTTTCTTTGGTAATGAAATTAAAATAGTTAATTGAAGTCTTATGTTTAATTATTTATACATATTATAGCCAGACCTGATTTAAGCAGTCTTTCTTACGAGTAGTCATGTCAATTAGACAGCAAGGAAACATGTGAGTGGTGAAACCTAGCAGGCCATCCCGCCTAGCAAGATGTTGTAGGCTTACATCATCAGCCAAATCTTCAGATTGATATGCCTCTCACTCTTGGGGCCTGGGCTTGATCCATGTGAAATTTGTGTAGACAAAACGAGTTATTGGCAGGTTTACTCAGGTTCTGCTATTTCCTCTTCTTCTCATTTACATCATCGCTATCACTACTCATTCACTCTTTTGGGCATCAATGAACTTGCCAATTGCAGGACCCCTAAGCTCCAATAGCTAAAGTAATAAATTGTTGATACTGGTAGATATCAACAAGGCTGGCTCTGAACTTCATTATTATTTCTTATATCATTTCAATGACTGGGCAGGAAATTAATTTCTGCCTGCAGTAATTACTATAAAATGCATGTATTTTGGAATCATAAACGAATTCAATGAATAAATATGGGGCTTTTTTTTATGTAATTTTCTCAGGTAAGTTTTTAATCATCTATTTCATATTCCAAATTAATATTTTCTCGAAGTCTGTCAGTCTTGTAAACTATATGCCAACTCTACCAATTGCTAAAAGCAACTAGACCAGCTCACACCCAATTTATGATGTCTGCTTCTTCTAGAATATAGATAACCTTTGTAATTTCTCTGATGGCATCACTAAAATTTTTCCCACTTAGTCCCACCCACTCCTCCATAGTTTTCTTCCATAATTTCCCTTTTACAATTTTAGTTACTTAGGCTTTTGTGAACTATTTTCATATATTGGCATATTTGAGAACAAAATTTCTTAACAACTATAAAATTGTCATTCTACTTTGATGCATTAGAAGATTTCAGACTTCTATATCACCTTCTTGAGTACAAGCTAGCCAAGATAGATATAATCACTGAGAAATTCAAATGTTAGGCTTTCTATTTGTGTATTTCTTGTAGTAACATTTCTCACAGGAATTTTTCTGAAAATGTTAGTAGAAATGTAGAAATGTTAATTGAAATATGTTGAATTACATATTCAGAAACAATATTTTGTTAAGTCATTATGTGCTAATTTTAATATTTTTATACTTACCTATTGTAGGAGGCATACAATGTTAAACTTGGAATTTCTTTTTGAACTTGATTTTTTTATTGAATGTGCTACAATTTACTAAATATAAGAATAAAGGAAAAATTATTTACATTAAGTAGAGTAGAAAAATTGTAGAAACTAGCTCAGTTTCATTTATTTAGAAAAGCAGCAATGAAAATCTTCAAAAATAAAATACATTTTGATTTATTTAAATGAAATTACAACTTACTCGTGATTGCTAGTGCTACAGAAAACAAAGAAAGTATGCATTTTTTTATACAAAAAAGTATTTTTCATTTTTGTGCACTGGAGATTTAGCAGAGATCAAGAATACAAGAATTTCTTCTTGAACAGAATTTGTTATACATATTATATAAATGCATAATAATTAGCAACAATTGCACAATTAATTGTGGAGCAACAATTGTAATGCACTTAAAAGGGAATATTATTATAATTTGTTGCTATAATTTATGTGTATGTTGTAATGATGTAATAAATATTATAATAAGTACATTACGTTTTGGGATTGTTCAGTGACCATTGAAAATACATTAAGAAACTGTTTAATTGTTGGTGTAATCATGTAATTATTGTTCCAATGTAGTTTTGGACACTAAACGCTGTAATTGTTGGGTAGAGGGCAGGTTGCTGTTGGTTGAAAGTCTCGTAGGCCTTTGCTTTTGGGCACTTATGGCTGCAAAAAGTTATACAAAACAGATCTTCCTCTATCCCATTTTCCAACCCCAACCACCATTGTAAACAGAAAAATTGTGTGAGTTTCATGGCACATCTAAAATTCTTTGTGTAAAAATGTGTATTACTTAATAAAAGTTTGTTTAATATATATAGAGATCTGAAAACCCATTATTTAAAATTCTTGATAGTCACATTTGATACTTTTCTAATTCTAGAACATTTGATATAAAATGTTTCTTTCATATTATGTCCATTATTTTGCTTAATTAAGTTCTAATAATACTAAATTTGTTATAAATGAAACCTCATTTATCATAATGTTTTATTAATGAACTAGTTATAAAATTGAAAACAAACATTATATTAATTTTTATAACGATTATCTGCAATAATTCCCAATTACATCGGAATTGTCTATAACTGATCCCTTCAAATTGTGCTGAAAAAGTATTTCGCAAATAAAAATCTGATTAATATTATACAGGTGAGTCATGTAATTTTAGCTTCTCTTGTAATTTCTGAACAGTTGAAGTTATTTCAATGCAGTTTTAATGGAAGTGCATGAGGGAATGGGGTTAATTGATGTGTGTATTCATTTCCATTTTATCACCTACATTTTACGTGATATTGAGGTAACTTTGTTCATTCAAATGGAACTATACAGCTTTTTTTAGCTTATTATGATGAGCATAAAAAGATGAATCCAATGATATACATATTGTGGTATAGTGAGAGCGTAGGCTTCCGCGGCCAAAGTCAGTATTTACTAGGCTGTCCGGCGTAATGCATTACGCCCTGAGGAAGGTCGCAGAATGGTGACCGAAATGTCGGCACCTTCGCCATTGACGCGGCCTCACCTGGACAGCCTAGTAAATATATTGTGGTATGTTAGATAAACATTTTTGGGGGAATAATTTTGATTTTTTTTGCGACTCGTATTAAACAAATTTTTTGAATGTGCACCGCCCAAGGTCACACAGCACTCTCCCTGCTTACTTGCGCTAGGGGTGTTACAATATCTGTTTAGCACAATTTCCAAAAATAAAAATTTCTCAAAAAACTCTTATCTCACATATGACAATATGTAAATCATTGGATTTGTCTTTTTACACTCGTGATGACAGACTAAAAAGAGATGTATAGTTCTATTTGAATAAACAAAGTTACCTCAATATCACGTAAAATGTAAGTGATAAAATTGAAATGAATATATGTATAATCTGGCCCCATTCCCTTATGCACTTCTGTGAAAACTGCATTGAAATAACTTCAACTGTTCAATTATTACAGAAGGTGCTACAGTTATGTGATTCCTCCTGTATATGTGGTGTTAATAAAAATCTCTCTCTCGCTCTCTTTTTTTTCTAGATAAAGATCAACACCCAATTTATTTTTAACCAACCTGGAATTGTTTCAGCATCCCAATATTCATCCAATTGAGTTTGTGAGCTGCAATGAAGTTGGAGGTTTTGTTATTCGTCCGTTGCATACTGCTGGTAGCTTGAGAGACCTTCTTTGTGTTGCTAAACCGAAAATACAATTCATAAAGAAATATGGAAATCCAAAGCAAGTGAAACCTCTATCTGCCAGTGAAATATCTAGTTATGGTAGGCAAATCCTTGAAGTGTTGAAATTTCTAAATGACAAAGGGCTTCCTTTTGGTAAGTAAGAGAGATGTTTTTATTGGAAGAAAGATTAAGATTGCATGTAATTTTATTTTCCTTAAGTCAACTTAAGTTGTGTTTTGCCTAATATGCACTTCACATCAACATTTTGTGTGTATTTTTTGCCAATACTATGTTGGATTTGGATATAAATTTATTGTTTTATTTATTACCACAGATTTTATAATTTTTTTTATGAATTGTTGTTTTTTTAAAGATATTTTTATGCGTTGTTGATGTAGGGATTAAAATATATCTTAATTTTTGCAGGTCATCTCCAGACTGGAAATATAATTTTGGAAAATGGCAAAGTGAAATTATTGGACATAGAGAATGGTGTTCTAGGTCTACCGTCTTACTATAGACCTTTCTTTGTGCAACACAAGAAAATTCAATCTCTGGAATCAATTGATGTGTACTGTTTTGGTCATGTTCTTTATGAAATGGCTTTTGGTCATCCATTACACGAGTCTGTCTGTGATATGTTTCCGGCCTTCTGCTGTCCACCTTTAAGTTTGTATTCATTGTTCTCTCTATCTTGATGAGACTGTGTGAAAAAACTTAATTTCCTGTTTAGAATAAAATTATGAGAAAATTAAAGGGAATTTTATCAGATTTAGGTGGAAACGTGATTAAGATATTGAGTATTATTTGCTATTTATTTAGATTATTTGAAATATTTCCGTTCTATTTTGTTTTAAAGTTTAACAGTCTCTAATTCAAAGTTCCATAACAGGAGAATTATTTTGATTATACATAGTCATAGGTAAAAACGAAAGTAAAGAAATATAATATTCCACAAATTAATTTCTCTTCACATTTTAGGATGACAACAGATTTGGAAAATCAGAAATTGCCAGAAAAAATAATGACTGTATATCGAAAAATATTTTCAAAGTAATTGAAATAAGAAATTGTCATAATTGATATGAACAGGGGATACATGGAACACTAATATGAGAAAATTGCTTGCAAAGTTTTGATTATCAATAAAATAAACTGATGTTGGGTTTTGCCAATTGCTGTGATCTTTTAAATTATACATTTTGCACTATTGTGATTGCTAGAGCCTTAAAGTTTGACTAACTGTAATTTTGTTATTCTTTCTATTTTAACTACTTCGACTATTTTACGTAAAACGTAAACATTTTCAAACTTTTCTCAAAAATGGCTCAAAATTTTTTGATTAAATTTTATCCACTGATAGAATAAAGAATGTTTAAAAGAATGCTGAGGGTCTTATTGTCATTGAAATTCCAAACTTTTCAACAATTGGAAAAATTCAATTTATTTTTCTGCCTCTTACTACAACTATATTATTGAAGATAGTGATTTCTTTCCTTCATAAATCTGTTATTTTAAGGACAGTTCTTGAAAAAAGATCATATAAATTTTTTCAGAAATGTGAGTAGTTAGTGAACATTTGCATGAAATATAAATTTTTAAACAAAATATTTTCAAAAAGACATCAAATTTTTTCTTTAAATTTTCTCGTCCTATGTACCTAACAATGGTAAAAGAATGTGGTGTTGGTCTCATTTTCAGCAAACATTGCCAATGGCAAAAGTTAACATTGTGAAAGTACAATATTGAAGATGGAGATTTTTGTCTGAAAACAAATCCATTCTAAAAATCAGATAAAAAAAAGGTCACGTACATATTGTGAAAAAAGCAACTTTTTCTCTCACTCTCACTC